GGAGACCTGAAAGAGCAGAGCCCCATCGAAGCTGGAGTGGACACCGCGGTGGTGAAGCGAAGGACTTTAGCTTGAAGTTTCGTAAGACCCCGCCTGTTGCAACAAGCCGTCTAAGTCGACGCCCACAAGGATGGCTACCCGAACGATACTCGGACGGAGCGTCAAAAGGACACCTAGGGACCAGCGACCTCGGATGCCTGCAAAGATGCCCCTGCTTTCGAACATTGGGTCTTGTCAGGAGCTTGAGGCCATGGTGGCTGATCTGGAGAAGAAGTGCCTTGGACGAGAAGTCATCGCGGCATCGTAGAAGCTCCTAGAGCTGAAGGCCGCGATCTCTAGGTTGATGGGATGCGACACATCCGGTCTTGAGGGCAGACCACAGCAAGTGTTGAATTCTCCTGGCTCTATAGCGACACTCAGAGTGATTGGGCGCAGACTGTGCAGAAGCAACCCCCTCCCCCCCGAAATTTGCTGGCACATAGCACGTCCCTGATCTCCCCGACCCGTTCAGCCCGAGCCTCCCGGTAAATCAGCTGAGGGTGTGTCCCTTTGTTTGACGCTTGGCCCACACGGCTGAGGCTGTCTGAAGCCAAAGCTATGCCGTGAACACCTTCTTCGGCGCACGTGCCGTGCGTGGCTCGGTTTTCTCGCAAGATGATGGCCGCGAGTGTTCTTTCGTTTTGCAGTGTTCTAAGCACCTAAGGAAGCAGTTGGTCGCGACGACTGCGGTGAGAGAAAAGGAGCATTCCGTGTTGTTGGATTTTGTCACTAGTTAATAAATTTAATAAATGGTGACAGCCATTCAAGCCACGATGGATCTGCATCTCAGCTTTATCAGAGGTTCGGCTTTCCTGGCCTGAAGCTCTCAAGCCTGAGAAGTCCTGTCGTGTGCCACGCTGTTTGCGTGCACTCGGCAGAACGGCGGGGGAGCATGCATATTTACTTCGCGTGCAGAATTCGACTAGAGAAGTCGTACGAGAAGCCAGTGTGCCCATGTAGAGCCGGCAAACGCGTGTTTTGCAATCAGAGCACGGTTAGAGGTGGGAGGGGAGGGGGTTAGCCACAACAGTTCTGTTTCATAGACGTTCGTCCATCCTGGCCTCGAGCATGGAGCTGGAGACCGGGGCCGAGGAGGAGCAGCCTTCTGACCAGGCACAGGCTTTGCCACGCTAGGAATGCTTTGCTCTTTTCTGGGACAGTTTGGGAGGCTCCGGCGCAGGCAGAGGTGTCTCCACCCCCGGATGCCGGCGAGCTGGGCGAGCTGGAAGCACTGGAGCCTGAGGCACCGGAAGCTGCAGGCGCTTCAGGTCTCTTGACCGAGCCTGCTCCGGAAGAGACGAAGCTTCCGCCTCATGTCTGCATTACCTCTTCGCTGGTAGCATGGTGAAGGCTGTGAGCTCATGTCGTAGCATCACCGCGTATGTTGGACGGCGAGCCACTGGAACCCAGGGTGCACAGAACCCCAGGCAGGAGCGCCCAATGCTGAAGCCGAGGCCTAATCGTTTCGCCGGCTCCCAGTAAGAAGACTCGACTTGTCTGCAGTGGCAAAGCCTAGGTTGGCACCTCCAGAGGTAGCACCAGCGGAACCTCCCTTAGCACAAGGCAGCGAGACGGCGACGCAAGCAGAGGCAGCAGAGGAGCCGTCTGGAGGGGAGTCGGGCGGAGCGGCGACCGAAACTGAAGCTGAAGTGACTCCTCCAGCGGCTCCAGATCCGAGTCCGAGTGCTGAATCCATCAGCCAGAGCCAGAGTGCGACTCCTGCGGTAAGCGGCAACTCGGCCCAAGCCGTGAGCACGGACGAAGCAGAAGCAGAGAAAGAACCAACAGCGGCTGTGGCCGATGTAACGATGGCAGAATCAGCGGCTGAAACATCGCCGGCTGAAGCAACGCAGCAAGCAGAAGCAGCAGAACCTCCTGACATATTGCCGGCTGAGGCGACGCCGCCAGTGGCCGGAGCAGCGACTGAAGCAGCAGCGGCTCAATCGACGATGCCAGAGTTTGGAGAAGCAACCGCCGAAGCAGCCGCGGCTGAATCGACTTTGCCAGAGGCAGCCGAGGAGACAAAAGCTGACTCTCTGATGCCAGAAGCAGCTCCTGAACCAGCTCCGGCAGAGTCGACGCCAGAAGCCACAGACCAAGCAGACTTTGGAGCACCTTCGTCTCCGAGCGGTGTAGAATCATCTGCTGCACCATCCACTCCCAACAACGGTGGGACTGGGGAGCCAAGACCGACAAAGGTTGAACAGCGAGCCAAACAAGCTGTTCCCTCAAGAGGAGTGCCCTCGCCCTCCCAGAAACTGCAAAGAGCCGGCAGTGCACCACCAGCCCGAGGCTATCAAGTAGCACAGGCGTACAAGCACTCCATCGATCTGCCCCCTCGCTGGAGCATGCGCCCCAAAACAAATTTTGGCTCACCTTTCAAGTCGTCAAAGCAGGCAGACGAAGGTGGCATGGCACCCGACATGAGCTCCAAATACAACGAAATCCGGCCGCGAGCGCCAGCCTACAGTATGATTCCCCGAAGCTCTGGCATCACCAAGACGTCAGACCAGCCGGGACCGGGCGAGTATGCGCAGCCCAGCACGCTGTACGGTTCGCACCCGCAGTTGCCAGTCCCAGGACGCATCTGCAAGTCCACCCAGCGGCGGACAGGACCTACGGATCAGTTGGGGGAGATGAAGAACAACCCCAGCCCGCACGACTATGACACCATGTGCTCCGGGCCGGACAAAGGTCACAAGTTTGGCCGTGTGGATCAGGCATCTGCGCCTAAGTTCACCATGCGCCCCAAAGTTGCCTTTGGCTCGCAGTTCAAAAGTGCCAAGCAGGCAGAAGAAGGTGGCATGTCGGGCGACATGAGCTCCAAATACAACGAAATCCGGCCGCGAGCGCCAGCTTACAGCATGATTCCCCGAAGCTCTGGCATCACCAAGACGTCAGACCAGCCGGGACCGGGCGAGTATGCGCAGCCCAGCACGCTGTACGGTTCGCACCCGCAGTTGCCAGTCCCAGGACGCATTTGCAAGTCCACCCAGCGGCGGACAGGACCTACGGATCAGGTGGGGGAGATGAAGAACAACCCAAGCCCACACGACTATGACACCGTGTGCTCCGGGCCGGACAAAGGTCACAAGTTTGGCCGTGTGGATCAGGCATCTGCGCCTAAGTTCACCATGCGCCCCAAAGTTGCCTTTGGCTCGCAGTTCAAAAGTGCCAAGCAGGCAGAAGAAGGTGGCATGTCGGGCGACATGAGCTCCAAATACAACGAAATCCGGCCGCGAGCCCCAGCCTACAGTATGATTCCCCGAAGCTCTGGCATCACCAAGACGTCAGACCAGCCGGGACCGGGCGAGTATGCGCAGCCCAGCACGCTGTACGGTTCGCACCCGCAGTTGCCAGTCCCAGGACGCATCTGTAAGTCCACCCAGCGTCGGACAGGACCTACGGATCAGTTGGGGGAGATGAAGAACAACCCCAGCCCGCACGACTATGACACCATGTGCTCCGGGCCGGACAAAGGTCACAAGTTTGGCCGTGTGGATCAGGCATCTGCGCCTAAGTTCACCATGCGCCCCAAAGTTGCCTTTGGCTCGCAGTTCAAAAGTGCCAAGCAGGCAGAAGAAGGTGGCATGTCGGGCGACATGAGCTCCAAATACAACGAAATCCGGCCGCGAGCGCCAGCCTACAGTATGATTCCCCGAAGCTCTGGCATCACCAAGACGTCAGACCAGCCGGGACCCGGACAGTACTTGTTGCCAAGCACGTGACTCAGCAGCAGTCAGCAGTGGTAGGTAGTGTCGGAAGGTATTAGGGGCTTTTGGAAGGGCACCAGTGTTTGGGGATGGTTTGGATGATTTAGTGGACATGGGTGTAAGTACGGGGAGGGAGGGCAAGGTCAGTGCGGCAGGGTTGTTGAGGCTCGGTGGTGCATGTGGGCAATCGGCATCATCTCTGTTTTCATTGTCAGCGTCAGCATCATTGACATCATTGTTGTCCTGATTAAAATCATCATTATCGTATTTGTCATGGTGATGGTCATGATCTTTGTGGTGGTGGTGGTGGTGGTGGTGGTGGCGGCGGCGGCGCCGGTGGCCGGCGGTGGCCGGCGGTGGCCGGCGGTGGCCGGCGGCGGTGGTGGTTGTTGTGGTTGTTGTTGCTGCCGTTGCCGCGTTCTTCCTGTTGTTATTATTTTTGTTATTCTTGCTGTGCCTGTTCCTGTTCCCGTTTTGTCTCCTGTTCCTGTTCCTCTTGTCCTGCTGTTGTTGTTGGTGGTGTTTGTGGTGTTGGTGGTGTTAGTATCGTTGTTGCAGTTCTTGTTCATGTTGCTGTTGCTGCAGCTGCTGTTGCTGTGGTCAGACCAGCATCGTGAAACTGGGGTCGTGAGGAGAGCCTGTGCTGTGTGCTGTCAGGCTGTACGGAAGCCACCCGCAGTTGAAAGTGCCTGGCCGCGTGGCCAAGACGACATCAGTATCCTGGTTCAAGTTCCCATGCACGGGAATCATTAGAGCCCCAAGCGAAAGCAAGGCGCACTTTTCGATGCAACTCAAGGTAACTCAAGCATGACACTTTCGGAGGGCGAGGCTTTCTTTGACTTGGCTGCGTGCCCACAAGGACAGGTTTCCGCCTCCAAAGGTCTGCAACTTAGAAACTAACGAAAAGGCAGTTGTCAGAAGCTCGAACTTCGCACGCCGCCGAGGATGACAACACACCTCTCTGACAACATGGGACAGGTCTGATATTGCATCGGCTTCTGCCTGGTGTCGACTACCATTGGCGTAGCCAAAGCCTCCAGCATCAGGCCAAGTCTAGATGCACAATCACAGAAGCCAACAGTTACGTCTTGCGTCTACTGTCGTGGAGGCTTGCCTTCAAGCAACTAATGAACCTGGATGTTGACACGAACTATCATTCGGTTCCGTGTTTTTCCCTCTGCATCCAGAGCGGCCAGGACGCCCAGAAAACTGGCTGTCTTTGCCGATCGTGTGCATCGAGATAATGTGATGGAAGGTGGCAAAAAGAGGACAAAGAAGATTCTCTGGCGTCAAAGGTTCAAGCAGGTCGTTCCAGAGATGTACTGTGCTTGTTGGCACGTTCAAGCTGCATCCTGCGCCGGCTCGCAAACCTGTCAGCATCGCAAAGAAGTAGGTGCCTGGGCCTAGTAGACCTGCTGGTGGGGTATCAGCCGAGGAATCGGCAAGGAAAGAGCCAGAACGTTTCGAATTCCTTAAGCCACGTCAAGCCGAAGGCCTTTGCGGAGGCCAAGTGAATGGACCTGGAGCCTCTTTGTCATGACTGTGCCAGGGCCTTTGAACCGACCTTTGAGGGTGGCTGGAAGGGTGGAAGAGTGCGCCTGTAAAGGTCAGGTGAGATGATCAGTCAGAACCTCAGAGATACTCCGGCCGAAGCTCCGGGCTCTGAAGCTGAGAGCTCAGAGAGCTCAGGGCTGCTTGAGATGCCCCGGGCTGCTGGGGCGGGGGCCGAGAGCTCAGACTCGCAGACTCGGGCGTGGCCACGTGATGTGACATCAGGGCGCCAAGATGCTTGCCTCCGCGATCCCAACGGCATTCGCAGGGGGCGGCACAACGGGAGGCGGTACTGCGGTGCCTCATATGCAACTGTGGGGAGAGAGCAAACGGTATAGGACAACCTCCGTTGACAATGATTGGTCACCGAGGTGCAAATGCCGCCCGTGATGCCCCTGCCACCGCCACCCTCGGCAGCTGCTGCACAGTCACCGTCTTGAATTGGCATCAATGCTTCCAAGCCTCAATCCAGGAGTCCATGTGTTGAGCAACTTCTCACATGCCAGTAAAGCGCCTCGACGACTGCATTGAACATCTTCAACTTCTCCGGTTCTGATGCTCTAGGGCTGTGTTGCCAATGCCCTCCATGGCTTTCCCAATCATGGACGAAGCCATCTTCTGCAAGCTGCTGGTGCGGCCTCAAAGGCTTGTAGACGATCTGAATCAAGCCCATCACCTCGAAGATTGGAGCAAAGAGGCTGCAGTCCGTTTTTCGACAACCCAGGTGGGCTCAACATGCTTACACTGCCAGCACGCAGGCATTGGCAATTGCTGGGGTTTGTTACGGTTTCGACGGTTTCGACCTCGACTTGTCCAGGCAGCAGCAGCCAAAGCTGCAGCAGCCAAGGCAGCCGAGGTGGCAGCGGCACAGGCCGCAGCGGCCCAGGCAGCGGCATGAGTTGTGTGAGACTGCGAGAAACATCACACAGTGATATCTGCAGTCATTCTGTCAGATGAAATCCACATCAAGCATTGAAGCTCTTTCGACCAGAATCATCTATAGCCATGCGTCGAGTGCCATTGCCGCCACATCACAGCCTGTTCTTTTCCTTGCTGCTGTGGGTGCAGGCTGCGGCCACTCAGGCGCAGGTAGCGCAGGTCAGCGCGCAACAAGCTCCGGTCTCAAAAGAGCGTTGCTGCTCTATTCATTCTAACGTACAGAGAGACCCAGCCGAGGCGGCGGCCGCGCAGGTGGCACAGTCCCTGGGCCAGCGACCTTCGCCAGATGTCCGACTCGCGGCTCTGTGAAAATTTGCCCCACAACCAGGCTACAACGTGGCTCCTGTCGGTGTTCCCACAGCAGCTGCATACGGGGAGCGTGGCTTGCGTATAATTAACTGCATATGCGCAAGCCAGCATTGTAAGAGCGCAGCTTCCGAAGCGTTTGCAGGATCTGCCGTCTGCAGCACCGCCATATGGCCTTAGCTCTCCGAACCCCATGCCGACAACCCTATCTTCAGTGCACCCGCAGCCGCCTCGGATTCGAGCTCCGGGAGAGTCAGGTCAAAGTGGCCGTGAGTGCAAGCCGTTCAGGCTGTGGATCTTGCCGGCTGCTCTGGCAGCATCTTGCTTCGAAGGCGCACGGTCTTCGCACTGCATCAGAGTCGTGTTGGCCGGAATGACCAACGAAGCTTTTGTGCCTTTTCACCATGTCGAGTCAATGTCTGCAAGCCTCTGGAAGCATAGCTGCTCTGACAGCAGGAGCACGACCTGGGTCAAAACCATCGCCGGGCGAGGCTTGGGAGAGTCGACATGCCTTGCAGCTTCTCCTGTCTTGCACTGCTTGCACCTGGGCAGTTCCTGCCATCTGTTCCGGCGGACTTCATCGAAAGCTCAAAGATTTGCTTTCGGCAAGAGCAGCTCTCGAGCTCGGACGAGACGGACAGTGGAATGTGAAGCTCGAGGAAAGCGCGACGTGCGGACTGTGAAGGGTGCATCTGGCCATATCGTCGCATGATGAGACGCGCCAACGGGCGCATCAGCTCTCGAGAGAAGGGACACATAAATGGATGTAGGGACGTCGCAGTTCCTTTCGCAGGTCCTGGTAGGTAGGTCAGAGCAGTCCTGTGTAGCATGGGACATCAGTATAGGGCAATGCCATGGCTTGGTTGTCGTGTCGACCAGGCAGAGGCCGCACTGCCGCACCTCAAGCTTTGTATTTCACTGTAAGCCTGATGTGCAATGTGCTGTAACCCGCCGACCGGTAGGTTTGGGAGCTTCGGACATGGGATGCGTTGCCCCGTGAAGCTTGCCCGTCATTCTGGCAGGAAAGCCAGCGGCCCGGGTTGCCGAAACTTTGTTGTGATCCATGTTAATATTCAAGCGGAGCGTGGCTGCGTAGGCTACGAACTCGATCCTTAATGCGTTTGTGCGAGCTGGAGACTGGCAAGAGGCAGAGCCGCCGAGCTTCGATCTTGCTTGAACGCCAAAAGAACCTCCTTGTTGCCGCAGGCTTTTCAGATCCTCCAGGCACTGGGGAAAGTGCCTCGATTGTGATGTCTGCCTGGGCCTGGGCACCAGGATGCCGGGCACAATGCTGATGCCGGAACCACAGAATGGGGCCTGCAAGAGCCGGACGGTGTGGAGAGTCTTGGAGCAGGTCGTCCACTTCACCTTGGGACTGCGTTCGTGTGTTGGTGCCTTACACAATGCAGGCACCTGCGGAGTGCAGTTGGCTTCTCCACACGCGCCGCTTGGCTGAGGTTTCGGCAGCTGCCTGGCAGGCTGCCGTGTCCACCCTGCCTTGGGTTGCCCGCCTGCGAGTTAGCTTGCAACTCGGAGTGCCATCAAGTTCAGAGATGAAGCGGTGGGCGTGTTGACGCGGAGGCCCGGACCAGCACTTTTTCGGCTCGGCATTGACCGTTTGTGGCAGGGCCGCCCGTTGGAGGGAAGCACCTTGTCTCAACGAGGATAAGTCTGGAAGCTTGCGAGGCTACCCGTGTTTTCCTGTCACTCAAGCTAGAGCTACAGTCATTTGTACCGCCCTCGACTGACTACGATCCAGTCAGGTCAGGGTTTATGGAAGGAGCCACTCCGCGAGCAATGCTACAAGTATCTTGGTAAGCCGGCCGCAGCCAGCGGTCGATCTAGTTCGACACCCCTGCAAACCTTAAGCCAGCTCCAAACCGAGGCAGTGTGTTGTGTTGCAACTTGGGCCGGTGAATTTTCACTCTCGCAGCGTTTCTCTTGCCTAGGCATTGGCTATCCTCTCGCTCAACTCCACGCCATCACTGGCCGCGGTCCGAGAGTTGCAAAGGACTTGAACAAGGAAGATAATCCAGCACATTCAAGGTAGCACACTCTGCAGCAATGACTGCCTGTGAGAAGGCGGGGTCGTTTGCTACTGTGGTTGTTGAAGCAGTCGACGCAGTCGACGCACTCTGCAACGACAATGCAACAATTCGGCAATGCAAGGCGGGTAAGTGGCAGATGGTTCTCGGCATGCTGTACCACCTGCCAATGCTACGGCTGCAGCCGGACTGTGCATGCATCTTGTGACTGGCGCTTTGCCGTCCCCTCAGACATTTGTTTCTTGACAGTTGCAGGATCACATCACGTTCACTTCATGCATAGGTGCTGGGCAGTCTTTGGCGTGGCAGCAGTCGAATCTGAAAGCCTCGGATCAGGTGCCGTTGAGAAGCTGGGCTTGTGGCGAGCTGCGGTTTGGTTACTGGAGGACGAAGCTGCCGAGCACCTCACATCGCTGCATTGTACCAGCCATGAGGCCATTTAATCTGACAGGACATGGGGCGCTTCGCCCTGCAGGCCTGGTCCAATGCCTGTGCCCATCCCTGGCTGATACAAGGGGAAGGGGGTGTTTTCAAGGTGCCTACCTGAAGCTCATCAATCACCAGGAAACACGTAGGAAAAAGCCCTTTGCGAAATTTGTTGCAGGCTGACCTTGTCAACATGTCCGGCGTCCTCAGTGCCATGGGGAAAGGTCACAGGCGCCATCGCACCCCTCGGCGTCTGCTTACGCGAGAGGTCTTCAGTCTCATGCAGCCTGATGTCTTATGAACCCGCTTGAAAACGAACGCACACACACACAGAAACACGCAGGTGGAAGAGAGCACTTGCACTCCTGTCCAGCATGACTTTGCAGCTGCCCGAGCCCCAGGTTTGCTAACTGCATCGGTGCCTGCGAGCTGACCGTGCCAAGGCTTCGGCCGTCCACGATCAGCTATTCTGCAACAATCAGCGCCTGTGAGAAAGGCACGGAAAGACATCAGACAGTGCTCTTGAGCTGTCTTTACAAGCAAGTTGCCACGGCGCACGAAAGATCTGCTGTCAGCACACCCTTGCAACGTCAGATGCGCAGGCCAGGCGTGGGAACATGCTTTGCTTCTGTTTCGAGAGACCCGAAGAGAGGCGGGGTCAGGAAAACAGTTGCTCGCAGCTGTTACATTTGGACAGAAAACCCTTCGCTGGTAAAAGGTGGGGAGAACGATCCCGGTGGACATCGCAATGCTGACTTCACTGATGGCAGCTTGTGATGTTGGCGGTCGCCCGGAACTCTGCCAAAACAGGTCCGTGTTCTACTCACCTGCTCTTGCCACGTTGGCGCAGAATTTACATGAATTTGCCCCCTTGCTCAGGCTGGCAAGATGCGCTAAGCCTACTTGCCACTGCTCGGTCCAGAAGGCTGGTGGTGGATGCCAAGCGTGACAATTAGGGTCGACGGTGACCTCAAGAAAGATAAACGTGCCCGTGCCCGGCTTATACCGACGACGGCGACGAGGACCGCGACTAGTCCCCCCACCCACTCGAACCCTACACACAGTAAGTTCGAGAGAAGAGCGCAAGGAAGTCCCGAAACCGAAATCAGAAGTCCCACCCCAGCAAAATCCCGCATGGTGTCAACACCCGGGAAACTTGCGCCGAAAAACCCTTAATTAAAAGCCTGCGAAATTCACGGAGTCACTGGCACATGTAATACTTGTCATACTTGTAAAACAAGCTTCTGACACCTATACTTTCCCCGGTAAACGCCGCAATGCTACACTTCAAGGATTTATGTAAACTTTGTTCGGCAGCCCGTGCCATTTCTATGTTTCAGTTACCGCCATCATCACCGCACTCGCTAGCCATTGCATCCTTGCCTCCAACAGACTCTTGCGATCTTGTGGCCTGTTGCACTATAAGCACAGCCTTGATCGCTGCTATTGGTATCCCTCCTCCCAGCGCAAACATCAGTACCAATCTTGGTACTATATTACCAGGGGTACCTTCGTTATCAGTTCTATAGCGCTCTGCTACTAGTAAGCCTTCAAGTGTAAGCATCCGCACAATCATTGCCATGTTACGACCGTACGTCGTATGAATCTACTGCCACAAACCTCACTGTGATCATTGATGCTTAATTGCGGCGATACTTGTGGTCATCTTTTTCACTGCTGGCACTAGTGTGATTATGTATGATTACCACCAGCTACTAGTTTCCATTGCTAGGCTTAGGCGTCGAGACACAGTCGTTCGCATCACGAGCATCTTTTTTGGACGGATGCAGGATGAGTGTATTTCTGGTGTTCGATCGAAAAGTGCGCCTCCCTACTGTTGTTGGCTTGGCAATTGTCGAATCACCTGCAGTGTACTCTTCTTCCCGCAGGTCGGGATGTGAAAGTGGTGATCACATTCAAGACTTCAAGGCGTGGATGTCCACAGTGCCGGCGTGCAGTGCTGCATTGTTGTTTTGGGACTTTACTGAAAATTGCAACTTTCGGCTTCCCTTTGGTCTTTCAGCTTCCTTGTGCTGAATTCGGAATGCGAATGGCGGGTTCACGAAAGCTTTGCTCGCAACTCGGCCAGGCCATGGAAGAGCTTCAGAGCACTTGTCTCAGTGCATGCAACCGTGGCCACCTGAGTGCTCCGTCGCACTGGTCCGGTCAGCCGCCGGGCCGAAGAGGGGAACAGCCGAAGCCAGGCTCATTGCAGTGGGAAGCTGCTCTCGCCATTCTTCATTCTGATGCCTGCGCCTCACAGTAGAACTCGCAACCCTCGGGCCCCAAAATGCTTCCTCCGTCGGGGTCCGAATATCACTGAAGAGAAGTGACTTGTTTCACAAGTCTGCGCATTGTGCGATAAGGTTTGCGATTTTACTGGCCTGAACTGCGCTATCCAAGCGTGCGCCGGGGCATCAAGGCCGCGTCCAGTCACAGCATAGTTGCATTGCTGAACATGTATAGAGTATAGACGGCATGTCACCCAGTCTCCCCTGTTCACATCGGCTGCGCCGGAATGCACCGGGACGAAGCTACGATTTCTTGTCGCAGTTTGTGCATGTGGCCGTTTGACCCCAGGTGGTCCTTGGCTGTTTCGATGGTAGAAGGCGCCGGGAGTTCTCCTTGCAGGGCAGGGCAGGCATGCCGAGCACGTCAAGCAACGAGGCTGCTATCACGCCACGACACTGTCCGCTGAGAGCTGAGAATTTGCGGACGTAGTGTTGAGAAGCTTTCCCATCAGTGGATGCACAACATCCTGACATGGAGCTGAGCTCGAAGCTGCGCTGCATGTTGCTTCAGTGATGGCGCAGGTTGTCTTGGGAGCCTGCCTGGCATGCCGGAGTCCAAGCTGCAGTCAATCCGTTTGCGCAGCGCAGCATGCTGTCGCACAAACTTGCGAACGAAACACGGGGTCAGTGAGAGCAAGGTCAAGAGCTTCCCATTGCTTCCGGCGTTTCCAACCTGTGTCCTCCTCAGACACATCCAGCGGAAGGCAGTTGTTCAGCCAAGAGCAATGCAGTCGGACGAACATTTGCAAAGGCTCCGTAAGTCCCGCAACGACTCGGAAGAGGCCAGAGTACACCCGTCCTGAAATCGGGGTCAAACGCCAGCTCGCTGGCTTACGAAGGGCCGTGACACCGTGCGAGATGCATGCTTGGTAGCAGTGTATAGAGTGATGTTAAGTTATGCTTGCTGTTGCAGGCAGAGACTCCCACAGAGGCTTCCCATTTGCGTGGTGCTCGGATGCCGCTGTTCGACATGTGGCCGAGTTGTCGGAAGCAAGAAATTGTGTGGACGGTGTGGTGTCGGAGTACAACTTGAGGTCTTGGTCTCGACATTTGTCCCACGAGGCTGCAGAGGCACAGGGGCTGCAGATGGTTCCAGAGTGTTTTGTGGGACCTCGCAGCTTCCAAGTTCAGGTTGATGAAAGGCTGACGCACCCATCTCGGGGCAACGCCGGCAGCTTACCGACAGAGCCAGTGCCCATGCTGAATTCATCAGCGGCCCAGGCATGCAGTCCTGCGCAGGTATCTTCATTCGTAGCTCGAAGATTGCTCGACATGCACCAGTTGCGGGCCGTATCTGGCGACCGATGATGCAGATTGGATTCCTTTATTCTACTTGCTTCCTGCCAGCATCCCGACCGATACATTCTTCGTTTCGGTGCTTAACAGTGTCTTGTCTGTGCTCTCGTATGGCACCTTCGGAAGTGACATGTGCTGACACTAGCCCTTCCATAACAGCAGCACCGGATACATGGTACCGGGCTTGATTGGCTCCTCAAGCCCGACGTCGTCTTGATGCTGTTCTCCGAGCTCAGTTTCCCTGCAGCGCATCTTGCACTCGCACAGCGAAGGCCCCTCCGTGACACTGTGGCAAATGTTTGCAGTCTCGGGGGCTGCAAAGTGCTGGAACTTGCGGTTGTGTGTCATGTTGGCTCCTCAAAGAGTGGAGTGGTGTGGTGTTGGGACTCTCTCAGAGTCCTAATCTACAGTTTCTCAGATTTCAGCTACGGCTTTGAACCTCGGAAGAACTTTTGACTGACAGGCAGTTGGTAGCGGTAGGTGGGTACATGGTTTTCAATCCCGCGCCGAGGGAAAAGGGGAACGTTAGTCGATGAAAGTCTTTGCAATCAAGCGATTGTTCAGGCCACTCATGAATTTCCTCGAAGAGCTTCGGACAACGCCAAACGGACCGGTATTCTTCGCCACGGTCATCAAGTCCATCGGCGAGGGCGAGTGTCTATAGCAATGGACTAAGTCATTGCGCTTGTGAAGCCAATGATGCGGGACACATCTATAAAAGGATTGCACTATGGTTTCGGTTAGCATGACTTCTAGCAGACGCTGCGAGTGTGTGAAGAATCTTCCCATCGATGCCTTGGAAGCTTAAACAGTCCTTCAAGCTTCTTGGCTTTCAGAAACGAGCAGTGTAGACAAGTGGATGAACGTGTTTGCTCGAAACCATGGAGACAGAACTATGACATGTAAGCGTGAACGAGCAGGAAGCCTTCCGTGCAAGCTCACAATACGACCAGCCGCATTGTTACGAGTTGGCGCATGCTTCACCCCAGCCATCTGAGCTGCGGCAGCCGCTTATCTGCAAAGAGTATATCAAGCATCATGTTCACGGGCCTCAGGCTTTTGGCAAACAGAGCATTATCACCACGTTGCCTGTAGTGTGCCAGCTAGACGTGTGTCTCGAAATCCTGGACTGGAAGTGGGCTTCTCGGCCGGATGGTCTCTGCAAGCATGCAGGCTCCTAGTTGACACCAGCGGTTGAGAGACATGTGTTAACCAATTTGGATCGGTGTGGCGGTTTCGTTTCAAGCGCCGCACTTTAATTTTTTGGGAGGCCGCGCTGTCTCGAATGAACCAACAGTCTGCGGGGGGGTAGCCGAGACCATTCAAGACCATTCAAGAGCATATCGAGCAACATGGTTCCAATACCATACTGATCCACCAACCGTGTTCGGAATTCTTTCAAAGCTCAGCTGCAAATCATCGTCCGGCATCAGACTTGAGTCGCTGTCCGCCAGATGGCGCCACATGGTCCTTTCTCATGATTTACAGCGCTTTGGCATGTCATTGCCTGATAGGCTTCACAATCGGATCAAGTAACCGGCATGCGGTGACGAGCATAGATTCCGACAGACAGGTGCTGAGAGAGCAAAAGGAAGGCGGGCGAGTGGGAATAGTGGATGTGGAGCGGTGCCCCGCATGAGGCTCATTCGAGAGCCTGCATTTTTTTGGGTTATGTGGGGTCGGGTTTGGGATGGTGGCAGTGATGAGATGGACGGATTTTCTGTTCTTCTTCTTGTCACGGATGGACAGGCACGGCCTAGTGTGCCAGAGGGTTGGCATTCGAAGCGAATGTTGGGTGCAGGGACCAGGATTGTGGGAAGCCCGGCGGGAAGTCGCCCCCGAGGCACGAGGCTTGCGTCAGCGGGTGGGATAGAATACTCTTTGCCCGCAGCGTTCTGAAGACTCCAGATGCATCCAAGAGCGCTCCTGTTATCTGAGGTGTCTACAGCATGGCGAAACGTTCTCAGTTGCACGCTCACGGAAAGGCTGCTTCGAGTGAGCACCGACTGAGGCCAACGAGGTTCTGTGGCGAGACGGTTCAGTCAGAGTTGGAGGCGAAGCGTTCTCTCGAGAGTTGCTGCTCTAGCCACTGCTATCAGCGTTCTCTGAAGATGTCTGAAGCTTGGGCTTCCACAGTTCCATTGCAGGCCATCCTTGCAAGCGGCCACCGGCAAGTGGCAGCCCGGATCGCGCTGTATTGCAGCGAACTGGTGGAGGCAACGAGAGAGCTTCTTCTATCAAAGTTGAGCAGTTGGGATAGTCAAAGAGCTACATGCTTGCCGTTTTCTTGTATACAAGATCGCTCAACCGCCCTCACATCGTCATTGCTGTACAACTTTTACTCCCGGTGGCCTTTCGGCAAGACTTGGGTCATCTGTTCAGGCAGCGTTGCGGTTGCAGATTGTCGTCCAGTGTGCATTGATATTGATGCCATCTCCGATCTTTGGCAATCGTTGATGTTCTGCGTCATGCTGAAACATAGCTGGTGCAGGTCATGCGCCAAAACGCGATGCCCATACACATGAATCCACGGATAGTGCGCCTATGTGCGGAGTATTGCATTCGCTATCAGAACAGATCTGAGATTCACATTCTTGGTCCGACAAGTCCAACTAGCAGCTGCCAGCAACCACCAACTCTCTCTTGCCATGATCTTTGTGTAGTTGGTGGAAGGAGGGAAAGTTAGTCGAAGTGTTCACTTGCTAGTGTCTTGAGTTGATTCACGTGCCGGTTGGTGACATGATAAAGGCGCCGGGTGATACCGGCGGCATGAAGGGTAGCAAAGTGAGCTTCACAGCACGATGCGGGATGATGTGGGATGACGTGCCATGCGTGATAATAAGCGCATCATGCAGGTTCAATGTATTAGCTGTGGTCCCCTAGGACTCCAGCAATTCAGTTGAAGTCTAGGTGATACATAGTGGATTTTGCCGAAGTCCACTGCAGATGTTCCGTTCGACATCTCATGTGGTGCTGTGCAACGAGATGATTTATGTTGTTCTTCGTAGTCATGGCTTTAATCCATCATACTGTGTTGCTCAATGAGTTTCGTCGCAATTCTGTGCTACATGAGTGCTGATATGGCTGCTGCTGCCATCGCATGCACAAAGTGGCTTTTCCTCGCAGTCTGAAGAAGTGAAATATCGGTGAAGTGGCATGATGACATGCAGCATCTACGGAGTGTTATTGCATGAACGTGCCTGTGGTAACCAGAGATGCGGTGAAGCAGGATCTTCCCTTGTGTGTTTGTTTGTGATGTGATGAAGGTTAGTATCGTGGGAGATCCGGTGGGGTGGACAGACATATAGATCAATCGCCGGCATGCTGCTGTCGAATTTGACTTCTGTGCCGCGGCGGCGTGAGGCTGCTCGCGAGGACGAACGGCAACAGCTTCGCGACAGGCACGGGGTGCGTGTGGACCTTTCTTGCGCAGCAACACGACGGCCGCAGTCAACTAGCAGCCGGCACTGATGGACGTTCAGCCGGACAGTCGGGTGACGGCACAGGCCCGGTTGCGAACATGTGCAAAAAGATCACGCCGACTGTACTCGGAGTTCATCCGCTTTGCATCAGGCTTACGTCCTTCGCCAGAGGCAGCATGCCCTTGTTTGGAACTTGCGACGAGCAAAAAAGCGCGGAGGCTTCGCAGAAGTTGGAACAGCAGCCCACGTTGGATCAGTTCCATACGGATCGTGCCATCCCGAGAGCCACAAGGAAGGCTTTCGTGGAATGATCTTTGTCAGATGGCTGTCCTCAGGCGCAACTGACAGAGACTGCGAGTGGATCCTGCGCACCGCATTTTCCATCAGGAACAAGGCTGCCGATCTAGATTCAGATTGAAACCCACCTCCAAGCAAAGCCCTGGCAGGTGATCCAGCGGGGGAAAGTCGAGGCTCTGGCGGATGGTTTCATATGCAGCTAAGGGTCTTCTTTCATCGGCGTGGCTCCACAAGCGTGAAAAGGACACGGACACGATTGGTGAATCCCGAGGCATCTCAAAAAGTTTGCCCTTACAGATCCCATAGCGGAATGATGCAGCCGTACTGTTGCAACGGAGAAAGGCTGATTTGTTAAAGAAACGGACATGTGACATGTCGTCAACTGTTCAAAACCACTCGACTGTGAACAGCCCCACCTGCCAATACCCGAGAGACGACAGAATCGCTTCGCCCGCTTGTTTCTTTAATTCTTTTCGTCCTGGAAGGGCGCTGCGGACGCTGGGGAGGCCGCTATCTCACCATTCCGGAAAGTGCTATATCAAGAGCAGAACCGGATAGATCGGCTTCGGCTTTAGGACTGCAGGGCTTTGGAGACGACTTCGGACCCGAAAATTTTAGCTATCCCCGCAAGGAAGGCTAAGCTATACTCTGAATTAAACTTCAAGCAAAGCCGAGTGTATATGTTTTAGTTACCCCCGAACTCGAATTTTTTGGCTAAGCCCGAAATTAAGGTTCAGCTAAACATTGGTTTAGCAAACCCAAAATCTCAATTAGTTAAACTTAAGCTGAACCCGAAAAACCGAAATCCAGGTCCCGCTAAACTGGTTAAGCCAAACCCGACTTTTGGTTTGGTTCAACCCGAATAACAGAAAGTTAGACATAGCGTGTCCAATGCTTGGGAGATGCAACTCCGATGCAAGGTGCTGTGGCACTGCCATGTTCCACATCGCTGAAACAGCCGAATGCTAACTTTGTGCAATTGTCCTCATGTCAAGTTGCTTTAAGCTAAGTAAGCTTCTGTGCGGCCAGAAACTGGCAAAGTTCAAGATGTTAGTTTTTTCGTCCTTTCGGGGCACGGATCAGCACAAATCATTCATCGGAACTGCCAGGCGCAGGCCACCCGCAGCCGCGCTGTCTCATTGCAACTCGTCCTTCGAATGTGCGTCATAACTGTGGCAGTCTGAACCAGGTGTACATGTCGTGTTGTGTAATGCGTTGTACGGAGAATAAATGAATAATGTGCATGTAACTGTAATATCACTGTAATAGCTACGAGGACAACATACATGCATC